TCCAGGCGCGGGTGGAAGAAGAGGTCAAACACTGAAAGCCGCGGTGGCTCGGTTGTGGAGCTGAGCCACCCAGTACGGGTGGATTAACGTCGATCCTCGTGAGGATTTGCGCTGTGGTAAACGTAAATCCGACCTTGTCAGAAGAAGCCGTCCCTGGACGGTCTGGGACATGCCTTGGAGGAGAGATCAGGGTCAGTGGCGTGCGTCGCGCCTTTAGCAAAAGTCGGGCGCAAATTTGCCGTCCGAGTGAAAGATCTGTGTGCAGCTACACGTTAAATTGTGTGATTCACACGGTGATTTTAGCAATTTAAGGAGACGTTCTCAGCTTTCTGTGGAATTTTGCTTTTTTTGTTTCCAGTTTTGAAAGCCATGTATTAAGAAATTAAGACTTCTGGAGCTTGTTTCCGGACCTTTTTCATGCTAATCTGTACTCCCGCAGTACGTACCCTGGCCTGGAACATCACACAAGATCGTTCTGTCCTAAAATCCTTCCCCACGGCTCACTCTGTTCTGTTTGCGTTGCCACGCTACACGTGCTCTTATCTGTTTATATTTCCAACCTCATAAAAATGCAGGCTCTTTTATCTTTAAATGATAACATAACAACACATTCGTCGTGCACTAGCACAACCTTACTCTCAGGAGTGTTTAAAAGAAACAAAAAAAAAAAGGAAATGTGTAAAACACAGGTACTGTGAGCCTTCTGTCGTAATCTTAATCTTCTCCGTGTCTGATCGTACGCTCGCCGTGCTGTATCCAGAGGGGTGTCAGTGGGTAGTGTCAGTTTGCCGTGCGAAGCAGTTCTGTTTGCCCGTGGTGCTGACGGTTGCTGAGATGTGAGCGTGCCTCAGATAGTACGCGTCTTCAGAGAAGAAAATAGCTTGTGACCGTGTGTGCGAATCGTTGTGGCGCAGCCCGGGCAGCGTGAAGTTGTGCTCGTGTAAGTAGAGGAGCAGAAGCTGCGGCGGGATACGCTGAGGAGCAAGGACAGGCAGGCTGGGAGCTCGCTGATACTCTCAGGGTAGCTGGAGCCAGAGCTCCATTTGCCCGCTATCTTAATTTAAACTTCAGTGGTTGTGATCGTTCTTGGGTAACAACTTGGGCTTTAGAGTATAAACACATACCCAGACACGTGCCGTATATGGGCACGTGGAGGGGAAACAAACCACAAACCAACCAAACCGACAAAATAGTTGTGAAGTAGAAGAGGCTATCCAGAAAAATGTTGCTTCAAAACTCGGTAACCCGGTACGTTTCTGTTCAAAAGATTTTTGTGGTCATCTGGCTTTTCAGAAGAGAGAGGTTAATGTTACTAATGCAGACTAAGCAGTTTGGCTTTTCGCTGTTTTCGTTCCGTTGATGAGCCTTCAGTCTCTTCACAACCGGAATATCCTCTTCGTTTGATGTTTGTATTTCACACTAGATCTCCGCATTGGCTTCTCCCCTTCTGCGTACCTTGAAAGCTGCTCCTTTATCCCTTCTGCTGTTCTCCTGAAGGTGGCTTACTGCCTGAGCTCTGCCCCAGCCTCGCTTCCTCTGGAGCGGGGATGGTCCAGACACCACTGGCTGGGTCTCTCCCTTTCCTTGCCTATGCCTCAGACATCCTTCCTGCTGTGCTCACCAGGATTCGGGGAGTTTCACCTGCCCCCTTTCTCCTGTCCTTACTGTTATATTTCTTGTAAAGTGTTCCAGGATGGGCACAGTACATCTATCTACTTCTGCTGCTGTTTACACACATAACCATGTTACATAGGTAAATTCCACTGACATTAATATAATTCAAATATTATCTGTCCCTTGAGCTGATTTATAAATGAGGCAACAGATACAGGTCCTTTTGTGCATTGGTTACTGCTGGCCCAGAAGAGAGTTGTTATTCAGCACTCTCTTAAAAAAACAAAGCAACATGTGACTGTCCATGTTAAATATACTGCCAGTAGCAAACACATGATCTAGTCGTTGCCACATATCCTCTGTTGCTTAAGAGTGACACCTAAAAATGCTTACTGAAAAAGAGGCTAAACAAAACACAGTTATTGGAGTCTTGACCCTAAAATATTTTCAATAAATGAATAAATAAACTTTGGCAGAGAAAGTCCTTGAGATTGTTTTGTTTGGCTACCGCCTATGTTGAACAATAAAAATTAAACATGCCCCAAAATAAAAGATCTTCAGCTGCAGAAAGAGACGCAATGTACTGACCAGCTTCTTTTCAGTTCCGTGAGACTTTCCAGCTCGCTAACAAAAGCGTCCCCACGTTTTGGCATTTCGTCATGTTTATTAGCTGTGTCGATGCTGGTACTTCTGCATGTCACACTGTAGTGTCACGCTGGGGAGGATCAACAGTCTCATAGTTTACGTGCCTTTTACGCAAAACCACTTGGTTTATTCTGGTTCTGTTTTCAATTGTGCCGGGCAGGTTCCTGGGTAGAACTCCACTTCAGCAGTAATGGAAATGGCAGTGGAAACACTGTCACTCCGACGAGCCAAGAACAAGTACCTGCCTCTATTTCCATTCACAATGGTGACATGGAGAAAATACTCCTCGATGCTCAACATGAATCTGGAAGAAGCAGTTCAAGAGAAAGCTCACATTGCGACAGGTAAACTAAATGCTTCATTGTAAGCAAAGTAAAGGTCACTATTACACAAAGCCATTTTTATGCAAGAGGCAGAGACAAATACAGAAATGCTTACCTATGTGTGTGTGTGTATATACATATGCACATGCATATACATGCATGCAGAGAGGAAGGGAGAGGAAAATTTCTTATTTAAAAGATTGATATTTAAATACTAGAGTAATGCTCGGGTAGAAGCCTGTCCTGGAACCAGAAAGAAGTTACAGGAGAGAGGACTCTAGAAGAGTTCTCGCGTCTCATGAAGATGCCACCTTGGGGTTTTGGTGTGTCCTGACAAAGAAGGCCAGCAGCAGCAGCTGAACGTCCCACGGGTGTGCTGCTCGTGTACAGGCAGCAGCCGCCTTCTAGTAAATAAAATACTCGGGAGCTGTGTGTGGCTGTCGTTCTAAAAGATCGGTCCTTGTGCAAGCAGTGTCAGTGCTGTTCTTAAGAGCATATAGCGCTGCTAGTGCTGCTGCCTGGAACAGGAATGTCAGGGAAAGGTGATAAAAAGCAACTTGTGTTTTGTAATGAGGTACATCAGTTAATAGTTCTTCGGTAATTGCTAAAGAATCGTCATATATTTAGTTTACAAAACATAACAGATTTCTAGGAGTATAATACAACAAAACAACTTACATCTGATGCAAATTGTCAATCAGTGTTAATTCATTTATTTGATTTTTTTGATGGGCTGTGAAGTCTGCAGCCCAAAGTATATTTAAAAAAAAAAAAAAAAAAAAAAAACCAATACAGATGAAAATGTTAGAGTGCGATGAAAGTGCAGTCTGGCGTTTATGCCACCGCTGCAGCCCAAAAAATATTTAAAAAAAAAAAAAAAAAAAAGGAACTACAGGACTCAAAATAAATAGACAGTAGGATACAGAACTTCCTAGCCTTATCTGGCTAGTTTGAATTCAAACCAAACCCCACTTCTATTCGTTATTTGCTGCCCATTGTTACTTAGCAAGTAACACAGGCCAAATCATACAGCTTTACAGGCATATCTCTGCACTGCTGAAAAACAGCTCTGTGCAGCAAGCTGCTTGGCAGATTGTTAGAAAATCAAAGATTCAGTGAGTATGAGGGCTGGATCATATCCCCCATTGGCAGATTAATCTCTTAAGTTATGGTCAGGGCACTATAGCTCTTCGGGAGAACTGTGCATATAAGCTTCCTTGACTAGTTTTTAGTTCATACCATAAACAATGTCATAAAAAATTTAATGAGTTCTTTCTTATTGCGTTTCTCTTTTTATCAAGCCCTCCTCGTTCCCAGACACCTCAGGACAGTCACAGAGCTCTGGAAATAGAGTCTCACAGCAGTGGAGAAAAGAATAGCTTTCAGGTAAAAATCTCACCTTGCTTTGGAGAAAGAATTTCTTACTCTCGTTGTTGGAAAGCCAGCATTAGGAAGTAGGAGGTGAAGCTGCTAATGTAAAGACCTAAATAATTTGGTAACTTAGAATAATCTTTGCAGAATCAGGCTTTGTGTATTTGTATCATCTGACTTGCATGGATTGTTTTTGTTTGTTTGTTTTTTCATCTGTAACCTGAGATTTTTTCAGAAGGATTTAAGTGCCCTAATCTATTGTCTTTTAAAATGGCTGGGTTCTCATATGCCAACCTTCAGGTCCTACAAGTAGCTTTTAGGAAAAAAGATAATCCAGAAGATAACTGCTAATCTAGAATTCGAGAGCGCTGGAGTCAGCACCTTGCTAAGCCTCCAGCTTCTGGTGATCCTGAGACGTGTTCTCTGTCGTGGTTTCTCTTGCCCTGTGAAGTGGGCGTTATTCTTCTCTACTCAATAGTCGATTGTGATGTAAGTCTAACGGATTGTGAGACAATGAGGGTTTACGTTAATATGTGTAGGAAACGCAACAATAGGGTGGGCGTATACGTGGCTATATAGGTGAACATTAACGTTCTGTGGACAACTTCCCATGCAGAAGTTTCCTCTTCCCCCTTTGACTGTCAACTTGGTGCATTTCATGCATCCCCTACAACGAAATTCTATTTAAATGCACTACCACCGGGGCGTTATGAATTTAAAAAGTGAATTTGACAGCAGCAAGAATTCTAGAGTTTCAGCCAATGACGTTTATTTTCAAAGCGCTGCCATAGCTTTATGATTCCACTTTGTTTTAACAGCTAGTACTTAGCATTTCTACATGCTGCTTTGAAAAACCCACTGCTATTTCTCATTTCATTTTGTACATTTGTTTACATACTTGCAAAGAAAATGAGTAAATACATTTGAGAAAAGAGTGGGGGGAAAGGGTACTGTATATTAACCATGTTTTATCCATATATAGCTTATTGCATGATGACAGGCTAAAAGCTTCAGTCTGCACTGTAATTAGATACTAGCTTTAATATGAAAAAATTTACTTATAAAACGTTTTGAGGAGTGAAGTATTAAAAGTATTTAAGGAAATGTCTCTGCTCGTCCAAAGACTTGCTGTATTATCTTGGGTAAATCACTCTCCCTGCACTGTTTATGTACAAAGAGATACTATTTTCTCATTAAATTGAAGTATATCCTGTGCCTGTGACTAATTCTTACAAGGTTAGCAGTTAGCAATTAGAAATCAAGATTATATTTCACTTGGGGCCTCTGCATGAAAAGAAACAGCAATGTACGATAAACTGGCAAAAGCTACCAGCACAAACAGTTACTCATGCTCCATTGCGCAATGTTATGTCTTTAATTCTAGTAAGAACTCGGGAGCCTTGCATTTTACTTTAAAAAAACAAACAAACTGATTTCTTCCATCACTTCCCTTTTCCAGTGACTACTGTTCATCATCTGTAGCTGAGTGTGCGCTGGGTATCATCATCTCGAGTTCTCCTTGATTTCCTTGGTTCATGGTTTATCTTTTTCTACCCAGTGTTACGAACTTTTTAGAACAAAGTCTATGTGTTTGCTGTTTATACAGTATTTAACCTGGTGGGGTTTCAGCTTCATACCGTTTCTAAATTACACAGCTGTATCAATAATACGTAGATTTAATCCGTTCTCAAAATTACATGAAATGTGCTTGGTCCCACTGCCTCTTCCTTTATCTGCAACTCTACAACTCCTGCAGGAATCTAGCTGAATGAATTACTGCCTTTAGGTTAGCTAAATTCATTAGTGGAAATTAATTATTTTTATTTTATATTGCCAGAAAACCCTTCATATGTTTAAAGATCATTATTTAGACTTGGAGAACAAATAATCAAAAGTTAGCAAGCAGAATTAAAGTTGCCCGGACCATTTTATTTCCATTCTTAAGGTGTATGTATGCATATATAGCTATTTTAGTTCTATGGTCAGATACTATTTTTATCACAAGACCTTGGCTCCATTTAATGCACATGTATTAAGCAAGAAACTAAATTCTTACTCAGCATTTCTGCTGGAATTCGCTTGAAGACAAAGCCACTGTTCGTTTGGGGTTGTTCTCTGCAGAGGTGTGTGCAGATAGCTGGGCTCGCTCCACCTGCGCTCCCAATGCTGGCCCACAGGCCAGGGCGCTTCGTGAGGCTAGAATTAGTTTCGCTTGGCCTGTATGAGCTTGATCAGGGATCTTCAGCTGAGGATGACATCCATCCAGTTTTGAACACGGGCAAATAGTTTCTTCTGCCAAATGTCAAAGAGATGTGTGAACTGGAGAGCTTTTCAGATCCTGTATATAAGGATTACACGCAGGGCTCTGGTGTCTTATTTCCAGGGTAGTCTTCACTTAAGCAAGTATGGGATATGGTCTTCTCCATTCACATCCTGCTCTGAGGACAGATCTCCCTCCTCCCCCGACTTTATCTAGGATCTGAATACTTCAGTAGAAGCGATATGGAGAGCCCCAGTGGGGCGAGACGGGAGAAGTGAGCTTCGGAGGCAGTCTAGCATATGGTCTCAGGTGCAGAAGGAGCTGTGTTTTGCAGTACTGACTTCCTGCCGGTCGGTTCTGAGTCCTGTTTGGTTATGGCTTTTGTTTTAGTCTGAAGAAGATTTTCTTGAAAGGAGGAAAGAAGTCGAAAGGCTCCTGAAGAAGAATGCAGATTGGATATGGGATTGGTCCAGCAGGCCCGAGAACATCCCCCCAAAGTGAGTGCTGTCAGCCTTTCCGGATGAACTCCGATGCAGCTTTTACTTCCACAAGTCTAAATATGTGCCTGTTAATGCTGTGACTGTTTTCTTCCCCAAAACTAGGGAATTCCTTTTTAAACATCCCAGGCGCACAGCTACTCTCAGCATGAGAAATACCAGTGTAATGAAGAAAGGGGGGATATTCTCAGCAGAATTTTTGAAGGTTTTTCTTCCGTCTCTGCTTCTTTCTCACTTGCTTGCCATTGGACTAGGGTAAGTTTAAATTTAAAAACAAAACAGAACAAAAAAAAAAAAAGGTATTTTTTTTTAACCTGTTTTCTCTGAGGCCTAATTCTGACTCCCAATTCCCTCGTTGTCTAAAAGATGAGTGATACCCTTTTCTCCATGGAAGGGGGACAGATAGTTATTCAGGAAGCGCTTTCTACTTGTCTGCTTGTGGTGTTGCTGACTGTATCAAGTTTTCCTTTTCTGCTTTTCTCGCCAGTTAAGAATTTTTCAAAATAATTAAGGGGCAGTGAAATGAGTTTTATATACGAACTGGAGTTATACTTACACAGTACTTGGTTCCATTGGAGATACGACTCCTGATCTCACAATGAAGTGCAAAGGAAAAAGATACTATTTAATATATTTTAAAATTCCACTCACACCTGGGAGGGATGGGGGACACCAAACAAAAGAGGAATTGGGTTTTGTTAGATGGTTTAGGGGTTAGACGGTCCTTCTTTAAAAGCAGCTACAGGACCCAGACTGAAGGGAAGAGATGAGATGCCTTTTAGTCAGGATCAGAGTTTGCCTGCGCCTAAGCCTGGCAGATTCCTTGGTATCAGCGAAGAGCAGTGGGAATCCAGGCACGCCTGGCCGCTCTCCCGTCAGGGTCCGAGCTGTTCTCCAGGGAGCCTGCCGTTAGCTCTGGTCCTGCTCTTCCTCTGCTCGCTCCCTTGCGTAAATCCTGAACGTTTTCTCTACGACAGTGGAGAGTGAGGGGATGCAAGAGACGGAGGGGGAGAGGAGGGCTCCGCACAGCGGCAGGAACTGGAAGGAGGGACAGCCCAAATCTTCTGTGCTCCCCGCATCGTTGCGGATGGATGAAGGCACAGGTTATCTCCCTGTACAAAATCAAGATCTCGGCCACAAAATACTGTAAAAGTAATGTGAAACTAATTTAACTCCTTCCAAAATGAAAATGAGTAACTGCGCAGGATAGAATAAAAGCATAATGGAATTTTCCTTCCAAAATAAACGCAAGTTTGGTGATGTAAGTCCTTACTTTCCTCCTGGTCACTTCCACCACTGCTGCAAATTTGCATCATTCCAGTTTTGCAATGAGAGAGAAACAAAGTCACATCTTAGAAAGTGTGCAATGTAGTATCGGGAGAATAGTTACCCTTCAAAACAGTAATTTCTTTAAGCTACAAGAAGTACATGAATAGAAGACGCAGCGTAGGGCAGCTGTGAATGCGTACCAAGCTGGGAAATAACGACCAGAGAAATAGTAAGAAGTACATGAAGATGACAGCAAGATGTGAGGTTTACAGATTTCAGAGGTATTTAGCAAATGGAAAAACTTAAAGATAACAAAAGGAAAAAGGTAATAAAACTTCTGACTCGGAGAGCTCCTGAAGCCGTGCGCTCTTGCTGACCCCATACTTATCTCTGACTCTTGCATCCCTGAAACCGAGCAGCTCACGCAGAATTACTCAGCGGTGGCACTCGGGGAGCGTTGGCAGGCAGGGCTGTGCGCGCGGTCCCTAGCAGCTGACAGCCGAGTTTCCTAGCAGTCGCTTGATTTGCCCGATTAGTTATAGCTGCTCCTGCTGGAGCTCACAGAACCAGTAACCTGGTGAGAAAACCGTCTCCCTTAGGTGCTGTACGCTCTTGTTGAAATGAGGCGCAGCACTCGCTGACCGCGTGTTCTTGGTCCTCAGGATCTACATTGGAAGACGCCTTACGACCACGGCTTCAAGCAGTACCTTTTAAAGGCACCTGAAATGTAGTTTCAGAGCAAAGCAAATGCTCACCTGGGAATACAGGAGGCGGACAGCAGACGCGTCGGCGCTAGCGATGACCACCGGATCGGCGTGCACTCGTCCTGTAACCGTCGTGTTCCTAGTTTAGTGAGAATGGGAAAAGAGACGCTAAAGCTAGAGTATCGTATATAGCCTTCTGGATCCATTCGTAGAGCTTTCAGCGGCATTAACATCTGTTACATTGCTTTGTAGTGGCGTACCTTTGAAAATTAAAAGAACTTGATGTTTAAAAACAATCCTAGCTTTAACAGAGCAGTTGTGATTCAGCTAGGTATTGGCCTGCACTGCTCTTCCTTTCTACTTCGTAGATGTGAATATTTGTCACCGCTGCTGTAATCCTGACAATAAGGGATTAGCCCAAAACGATGTGTGGCTTTATGGATCTTATATGGGAATTCAGAGCAGTTTTTGCCTCGCTCGGGGCGGTTTCTTCCTTACCTAGACGTTGCTTAGCTCGCTTTCACATCTGTGCGAGACGCGAGGTGTCGGGAGGCACTGGAAGTCAGCTGGAAGACATTGGCGTACGAGTGAGACTTCCCTCGGTTTTCCCTAGTTCAGAGCGCGATGCACAACAGCCCGAGTTAAAATTTGGACTTTAGTGCCTAGCACACAGCTGCTCCTGCAGAGACATTTATTTAAGTCCCCAATCAATAGACGTTCCCTCTGTTGTATCTGCTTGCAGACTATTGCTTCTCAGCCTTTTTATCTGTAAAGGAATAAATTTGCATCTATTTGCCTCATCCTTGTATAGATTTAAAAAAGGGTTGCTTGCTTATTTGTTTTTACTAATGGAATGCCTTTTCATTCAGTGATTTTACCTTATTTAATGAGAAGAAAATGAATGTTTGCCAAAATACCATGTTTTATATATTTAAATAAAAAGGTTCCTCGTGGATTCAGAGTTTTCTCATTCCTTTTTCCCTAACAGTTGTTGAAAGTGGCTGACAAGGCTCTTCGTCTTCAAACGAGAGTTTCACACTGTTGCCTTCCATAGCTGACAAATGAGTAGGAAGTTCCTAGAGGAAACAACTTCATTGCTTATTAAACTGAGTACGGCTCAGTAACCCCACACTCACTGAACTTGCAAATGCGCTTTGTACTGCCGTCGTCGCTGAAAAATAAATCTATTTTCTGCTCTTTGTCCTCAGTTAGCAGTCCGGACTCCTTCTGCTGTGCTCGAAGCGGAACCTGTACGAACGCGGTCAGGGGCACCTGGCAGCTCCGGGGGCCGGGGAGCTGCTGTGCCAACAGCGTTTGCCATGCGGGTAAACCGCCTGTTCTCACACGTACGAGCCTAATCGCACACCTCCTGCAGGAGGACCAGGATCTGTTTGGGGTTTTTTTGTATATGTAGTAAAAAGAGGATTTATAGAATTATTTTGATGTCTGAATAGTTATCCCATATATGAAATCAGTTTTTTTAATCTGACTACGGTTGGAGTGTTCCACCAAAACGGTACTAAAAACATTGCTATGAGAATTCCTGTTAGATCAACTGCTTCTCCCCCTTTGAAAAAGCAAGATTTTATTTTATTTTTTTTTTTATACCGCTGCATCCAAATGTAAAGCCAGGATTCCTTAGGAACCCTGCTAAAGGCCCAGCAGCCCGCCCGCCCCTGGGAGTAGGGCAGGTAGAGGGGCATTCTGCGAGCTCCGCGCGTGCTCACCCTCACCTCTTACTTAACCGGGGTCCCTGCCCTTTTCCCTTCCATTTCTGTGGGGTGTCCCTTCTTCTCACGGACAGCGAGGCTGCCCCGCTGCGTTGGAAGCCCCCGGGTTCATGTTCTGTGCCGACTGGTGTTTTAAAAAGCGAGACTCGCAGAAACCCTTAAAGGCATCTTAGAATGGCGCTGAAGCAACGCTCGCTTGAAGGCTCCTGTTGCGACTGCAGAACAGACCGGTGACAGCAGCCGTCGTGACCGAGGGAGCGGCAGCGGCTCGGCGCTCGTCTCCTTTCCCGTGGAGCACAGAGGCCACGGAGCGCCGCGCGGGCAGGGCCGGACCCGCCAAGCTCTCGCCGGAGCTGGAAACCTTCGAGCCCAGGCTGGAGCCTGAACACTGAACGCAACGGTGGGGTCAGAAGCAGCCAGGGCCTGGCGCTGGGTGTTTGCCATCCCGCCACCCGCGGGACGTTCGTCCTGCGCTTCGGTTCCTGTGTGACTTCTCATGGATCAGAGCAGCAAAACGGGAAAGCGTTCCCTGTGCTTACACCCTGTCATTTGCCTATTGCTCGTTGCCTGCACCTTGGCAAGTGACGTGCCCGTCGCCGGCCGCAGCTGCTAAGGAAACGTTTCCAACGCACAGCACTGCTGCGGTTTGAGAGGAGCAGCGTTGGCATTCCATCAGCTCCACCGCCCCGGGGTCGCGCCCGCGGGCAGCGCGGATCAGGCACAACCAGTGAGGGTTTTAGAGGTAGTTACACATTTCATTCTTGCTCATTCTTAATTTACATTGATTTTAATTAGAATTACATGCATAATTATCTCTGAGGACCTGATCCGACGTCCTTGATCTTGCCGTGGGGGAGCCTCGTTTTAACCGAGCATTTTGGTGCGCACGTGCAAGCGTGTGCTACTTCTCCGAAAGCTATCAACCAGAAATATTTTGTCTGTTTTTCCGTTATTACAGAAGATTGAAGGTAATAAGCACAGATACTTGGTTTGTCGCTACTCCGGACCGTGACTCGCTATTTCATCAAGACGCAGCAGCGGGGCGCGCGCGGGGATCCTCGTGCTGCGCTCGGGCAGCGAGCACTGACTCGCACAGGCACCGTGCACCAGTAGCACCCTACTTAGCCCCAGTCTGAGGATCATCATTCCGAAAACCTCATCTTCAACCCCCCGTCCGCCGTATTTCTGTGCCGTGCCCAAGGCGACGATTACCCAGTTCAGAAAAACCACTGTGAAACACCCAAGGCAGTCGTCGGAAGGGCAACTTTTGAAGCGGAGGTTGATGGTTACAGCAGCAAATTCCCAGGCTGCCCTGGCCCAAGCTGAAACGGGGTACACGTAATCATTACTTTTAACATGATTGGAAGAAGAAAAGTTAATTTAAAAAAACCCAAACAAACCAACCTAGTCATCGCAGTGCCATTCAACTAGCAAAATATTGGATATCGTTATCGAATTATTGCTCAAGGCATCCTTACAGAGCTACGTCAGGTCTCCACGGTCAAATATTGGCCTTTTGCCTTTGCATTTTCAACATTGATTTCTGTAATAGCTGCCTCATACAAATTTCAGTTACCAATTTTTTAAAACAGCTTTAAAGTGCGCAGGCTTCTCTAAAGCCATGGAACCAGTGGACGAGCAGTCCAAAAGAAATATAAATACTAACAGAAATGGCCTAGAACTGCCTTAACACACTAGATAGTGACAAAATCTGCACCGAAGACTTTCAGCCCTTTGATCCTCGCCCTTCATACCAGAGGAAATGGAAAATTCAGTTAATTTTGCAACTAAACTTCTTTAAAAAACCAGAAATGCTCACGGCATAAATAAGTAGCGTTTTACGTACAGCACGCTTCCAGTCCAAGGGGCTTTAATTCTTCAGAGAGACAAGAACGAGTAGGAACTCCTCGTAACTCGGTTCACGAACCTCACTCCCAGTTGTGCTTCCAGCTGAGGACCCATGGCGCGGGTGCCGCTCCCTCGGCCTCCCCGGGGCTCTGCCGGGGCCACCCCTCCGCAGGCAGGCCCGGCGCGAGGGACAGACGGGAGGACGCCAGCCGCGGGGGCAGGGGGGGGCCCC